AAAAGGGGAGGGCTAATGATTGAAAATAATATAAGCTGTAAATTAATATTTTTTAAACTTGATCTTCATATTTAGAGAAATGTTTTCAAATTCGATCAATAATGACTCATTTGCATATCTATTTATGATTTTCCAAATAATTCGAAATGAAATTTAGCAAAGAAATCTTTACATATCATAATATGATAACAAAATTATTCACAATAATAGCATTATTTATTTCACTTAATATCTTTGCTATTTATGAGATTTCTATAATTACTAATTAAAATTATCATACACTGATCCGTTAATTAACAAATTCATATATTAAATTAGCTAATTTTAGCTAAACTATTATATACTATAGCAAACATCTCAATGAGTGGGATATTTCGGTATCATTGGAGGAGGGGGTGATAATACGATCTTATTTTATAGATTGTTTTAGGTAACACATAGGTTACTGCACCTTTTAATAATTGTCACCAAACTTTTACAAAATGTCTTTTTTTTTTTTTGTCTAATTAATACATCTTTAGATCCATTGATTTATTTATTCGTTCCATTTCTTTTTTTCTCTTTTGGTGAAAATTTCTGCGTCAAATGCGTAAAAATGTTGAATTTTTTTCCTTTTTTTTTTTAATGTGAAATGACAAAGTGTCATTAATGTTAAAATTATTTCTTGTCAACTTAAAAAATGACTAAATGCATTTATTTGCTATTTATTTGAATCCTTTTAATTTAGCAATAATATTAACTAAAAGATTTGATATGTTTATATTTAAAAATTGAATTTTATTTTCATTATTGAAAATTTTCTATTTAATTATTTTTGTATTTTTTTTTTGCTTTTAAAACTATAGCAGTTTGGCTGATTAGTTAGTTTATCATGGAATCATTAACAAGAATCCATGAAACTGGTTTTGATATTGATGCTAAAATTCTTTTGGTAAATATCATCTTGCATCAATGATTCCAATGATAATCTTTCGTTTTTGCGTATTTTTTTTTTGTTTTAGTCAACACATATTTTTGTTTAATTTCAAAAGCATACTATTTGAAAATTCAATTAATTATCCATTACTAGACATTGCTATTGAATTTTTTTTGATGATGCAAATTAGCATGGATGATGGAAATTAGCATGGATTGTTGATAAAATGATAAGTTTAGCAATAAAGTAAATGATAGGCAGAAAAAAAAAAGAAAAAAACGATTCTTTCGACCAATCTTATCCTTTGTTTTATCTTTTATCAGTTAATTATTAATTATAACAAAATTTGTTTCTCTTTGTTTAACCTTCATAGAAAAAAAAAAAAAACAAAAATTTTTGTTTCTCTTTTTTTTTCTTTTTGTTTAACCTTTATAATTTCACGAATATTCGTCCATTTTTATCGTCTTTTTTCTTTACAAAAACCAACTTGATTGATGTCTTTTTTTTTTTAAAAAAATGTTTGGCTAACTTTTTTTTTTTTTTTTGAATGAAAACGACAGATTTGGTATGTACGACGAATTTTTTATCGAAATTTTTCTTTTTTTTTTTTTTTAATTGATAAATTACTTCCTGACTTATTGAGAAGCACTTTGAAGAACGATAAAATAGTGGTGATACGTATGATAAGTTTATAGCAATGAAAAATTGATTAATCAAATATAATACATTATTTCGATGGTTGAAACTTGATTACCAGTTATATCAGACAAATATGTGCAAAATTAAAATTTACGGCATACTTTATTTTCTTTCATCGTTCGACTTTTATTAATTTTTCAAAAATTCGGCTTCTTTTTTTTTCTCGAGTAGTTCATCTTTTAGTTTTTTTTTTTTTTTTTTCATTTATTTATTCATGCAGAATTCAATAAATTAAATTTTAATTTGAAGTGTACATTCGAAAATATGTTGAAATTAAATTCATACTATTAATTAATTTCATCAAACTTTTGTAAAATTAACTTAGGTATGGTTTTTTATGTATTTGAATAGTAATAAATTTTAGTGTACTAAAAAGTAATGAAAATTTTGAAAATAACAGGGAATATTTTAAAAGTAATATCTTCGAGTGTTGATTTATTTGTTCATTTATTATTGTTCATATAAATTAGATTGAAATTATCCTTATAATTGTTGATTCTTTTTATTACTTTATAAGTTAAATATAGAATATTGATTGAGGTTCATTTGCAGTTAAATTTGAGAACCATTGTGATTAATTTAATTTATGCCTCAACACTAAGATTGAGATCCATTCTGAATGACTGCATTTGTTCCTAATGTTAAAATTTGAGATTTATTCTAATTGATTGCATTTGTGTTCAAACTTTGAGAACAAGATCCATTCTGATTGATTGCATTTATGTTCAAACTTTGAGAACAAGATCCATTCTGATTGATTACATCTGTGTTCAACTTTGTGATCAAGATTCATTCTGATTGATTACATCTGTGTTCAACTTTGTGATCACGATTC